TATAAATGCTGCTCAGTAAAATACACAGAAGACTGAGCCCCAGGAGGGACAATCACCCACAGGGGCAAAGAACCCCCGAGAGGACCCTCAGGACAGGAGAGCCTCCCAGATGCCCCTCGTTCTTCAGGGCCAGCAGCTCCTCCCTGGGAACAGGACCAGTCTCCTGTGTTTCGGTGTATCACACTGCCCAGGTAGCTGAAACTTTCACCATTCTTTGGGCTTTGCTTCAGAGAGCCACCTACATGGATATTTTGACTAAATGGAGAGAACTATCAAGGCAGGAGTGGTACCCAGGGTCTCTGAGACACATGAGGTGTGTTGCGTGCCATGGGTGGGCAGGGAAAGTAGAGCAGACACTACAGGTAAACCACCAGTCACCACAGGTAAACCACCCCTCATCCAGATAAACCAGCACTCACCACAGGTAAACCACCACTCACCACAGATAAACCACCACTCACCACAGGTAAACCACCACTCACCACTGATAAACCACCACTCACCACAGGTAAACCACCACTCACCACAGACCACAGATAAACCACCACTCACCACAGATAAACCAGCACTCATTACAGATAAATCACCACTCATTACAGATAAACCACCACTCACCACAGATAAACCACCACTCACCACAGGTAAACCACCACTCACCACAGATAAACCACCACTCATTACAGATAAACTACCACTCACCACAGGTAAACCACCACTCACCACAGATAAACCACCACTCACCACAGACCACAGATAAACCACCACTCACCACAGATAAACCAGCACTCATTACAGATAAACCACCACTCACCACAGATAAACCAGCACTCATTACAGATAAACCACCACTCACCACAGATAAACCATCACTCACCACAGATAAACCACCACTCACCACAGATAAACCACCACTCATTACAGATAAACCACCACTCACCACAGGTAAACCACCACTCATTACAGATAAACCACCACTCACCACAGGTAAACCACCACTCACCACAGATAAACCACCACTCACCACAGGTAAACCACCACTCACCACAGGTAAACCACCACTCACCACAGGTAAACCACCACTCACCACAGATAAACCACCACTCACCACAGACCACAGATAAACCACCACTCACCACAGACCACAGATAAACCACCACTCACCACAGATAAACCATCACTCACCACAGATAAACCACCACTCACCACAGGTAAACCACCACTCATTACAGATAAACCACCACTCACCACAGATAAACCACCACTCACCACAGGTAAACCACCACTCACCACAGATAAACCACCACTCACCACAGGTAAACCACCACTCACCACAGATAAACCACCACTCACCACAGATAAACCACCACTCACCACAGGTAAACCACCACTCACCACAGGTTAACTACTACTCACCACAGGTAAACCACCACTAATTACAGATAAACTACCACTCACCATAGATAAACTACCACTCACCACAGATAAACCACCACTCATTACAGATAAACCACCCCCTCCACCTCAGTTTGGCTGATGGAGGAGAGAGAGGGAAGGACAGGTGGATAGCTCCCAGAGACACCAGCACCAGGAAGATAAGGCTGTACCTGGTGGGAAACTGCGCCCCTTGGAAGCCTCAGGGCTGCACTCGGCTGTCACGGGAGCAGAGCCCCTCTAGTGTCTTGAGCAGCGGCAGGCCCAGGACTGCAGCAAGTCCTTGCACCGCCGATTAGGGGCTGACCAGTCTCCACCCGCCCTAGTGTAGGGACTGGGCACAAAGGGTCCCGGCCAGCATCAGGAAAGGAAGTGACCTTACCTCCATCCTTGACAGAATGGTGCTTCCTGGTGCTCTCCTCTGCAGAACTGCCGGTCGCTTTGCTGCTGTCCAAGCACATGGCCCAATGCTCATTTTGTAATGTCCCACCTCAGAGCCAGGGTCCGCAGCATGGGGAGTGACACAAGTGCCCGTGTCAGTTGGTGGAAGGTTCTCTACGCACAGGCCAGGGGCCCTGGGAGCCTCAAGTTCGGTGGTCAGCACCATGGACGGCAGCAGCAGCCTGCCCTGGGCTGGGAGCAGGGCTTGCTTTCCTCCCTCACTGCCACCTTCATCTGAGGTGTGCTGGAGGTATCAGTGCCACGCTCAGCAGAGCTGGGCTCTAGTGAGCCTCCATTCACTTCTGTCACATGGTGAGTCTGTAGTCCCTGGAAACCATGTTGAGTGACCTGCCAGGACCCTGCCATATAAACAGAGGTCCACTACCACATTGAGTGACCCACCAGGACCCCGCTGTGTAAACAGAGGTCCACTACCAGATTGAGTGACCCACCAGGACCCTGCCTCATAAACAGAGGTCCACTACCACATTGAGTGACCTGTCAGGACCCCGCTGTGTAAACAGAGGTCCACTACCACATTGAGTGACCCACCAGGACCCTGCCATATAAACAGAGGTCCACTACCACATTGAGTGACCCGCCAGGACCCCACTGTGTAAAGAGAGGTCCACTACCACATTGAGTGACCCACCAGGACCCTGCCACATAAACAGAGGTCCACTACCACATTGAGTGACCTGCCAGGACCCCGCTGTGTAAACAGAGGTCCACTACCACATTGAGTG